GATAAAGCCAGTATACTCGCTTATTGTTATGCAGATTACTCAATATTCAAAAACTTTTTCATGCACGTTTGCTGAATAAATCCTACATATAGTTTTTGTGATACAAATAAAATGTTGCGTGTCAATATACTTGAGACTTTTTTAGTGATCAGCATTCCACAATTGAATGAAAAACTTGTTAAATATATATGAATTTTCTTCATATTTCTCATTAATTTGTGTACATCATAAATCTCAAGAACAACTTTTTTCAACTTCTGCTATATTTTACTAAGAATGAAAAGAAAGTCTTAATATAATAACCCATCTACATTAATATACTTACTGATATGAATACGAAGTTCACCTTTCTATAATCACATGTGCAGAATGCTTAGTAAAAGAACCCACAAAATTATTAACAATAGGTAAAAATGTCGAAGTTTTCTTATTTTGAAAAAAAGGACATCTAAGAATGCTGATACATTAAAAAAGATCTTCGAGCACAAATTATTGATATTAATAATTCTTTTGTAATCATCTATTTTCATCCAAAATAGAATTATTTGTGTGAAGGTTTAAACGCGCAAATGTAATCATTACCCAAACAAAAAATGAAAAGTTTCGTTCGATTCTATGGGAATGAAATTAAAAAAGTCATTCGCGCATAAAAATTGCTTCCAAATTAACTTTTGCAAAGCGCAAAAAATACTTTCTCATCGGCGCGCTTCGAAATCGGAAGTTCATCAGCACCATTCATCAATTAAAAAAACTTGCATCATAAATCTTTCGAATTATGAATTAATTTAATTATATATACATACACCCGTATTTAAAAGAACATGTAGGTATATGTAGACACGTGAAGATAATTTATATGCGAATATCTATAATGCTAATATGTAGGACATTTGACGACCTAATCGAAAAATTATAAACATAAGGCATTGATTATTATTTTATTTATTATTATCAATAATAAAGAATACTTTATTTATTTAGTAAAAACTTGTTTTGACATAAAATGTATAAATTATTAATTTATAAGCCTATAATAAAAATGAAATATTGTATTACACACACAATTGATCAGAGCAATTTTTTATTCATATTTATCAAGGTTGTGTTCTTCAAAAAATGAAATAAATTTAATTAACTTCACATAGGGTAAGTTATCGTAATCCACCAAAAATCGAAATTGAAAATTTTTACATATTTTCACGTTTTGAAGGTTTTTGAACATTTTGGCAAACCTCAGAAAAAATGGATGTGTGTGTGTTTATGTATGTATGTATGTATGGATACAAATTTTCGGCCACGTTCTCGGGCGCACGGTTTAACCGACTTAAATGGTTCAAAAAACATTCGATTCTTATTGATAAGGAGATGTGCTAATTAGTTTTTGGCAAAGACAGGTCTAGCCGTTTCGGAAATACGGAACAAAGAGTGCAGAAAACGGAGTTTTTGAGAAAACGGAGCATCCGATTTGAATGATCCAAAAAACATTCAATTTGTAATGGCGGAGGGAGATGGTGATTAATTTTTGGCAAAGGCAGGTCCAGTCGTTTTGGAGATACCGAGCTAAATGTACAAAAATTGCGTTTTTTTGAGACAACTAAGCATCCGATTTCAATGATTCAAAAAACTTTCTGCTTGTGTTGACGAAACGGTTGCTTTTAGGGATTTTTTTTTATTTTCAAAAAAAAATTTTTTTTGAATATCTAAAACTTGAATTTTAATTAATCATAGCTAAAGTTCTAAAACTCACTTATATATTTCAAATAAATAATTTTAACTTTTATATTCAGTTTAAATAATTTTTATAAATATTAGACTATGTCCTTATTTACTATAAAATCGATTGATTAAATTTTGTTTATTTACTTTTCTGTTAACTTATATAAGTTACAGTATTTATAAAAATCTATTTGATAACATTTAATATTTCTCGAATATTTTATTGCTGTACGGGAAGTTCTAGCAATTTGCCTTAAGGCACGATGCTATACACTACTAATTTAAAATTAATTTTAATTAAAAATAAAAAAAGTATATTTATATCGTCATCTTATATCTATCAAAAGGTTTAATAGCTTTTATAATTTAAAAGATATATATTGTCCTTCTAGTTAAATTGTGATATTTTTTTGTAATTAAGTAAAATAATTTTATTGCTTTATGCACTCATACCATTAATTATTATTAATTATATTTATAATATTAGGATAAATTGAATTTATCCTGAAAAATTCAAACAATTCAGAATACCTTGAAACGTAGAAAAATTATAAAACTATCAATTCGATTTTTTTGGCCAAAACATCAACTTTACTTTCGGGAAGTTAAATATCATTTTGTGAATGCAATTTTTAAAATATATATTTGTGCTTAATTGATGCTTAGTAGTAATGTAGTTAATTTTTTACCTTGTAACCACAAGATTCTAGGTTCGATTCTTGACTCAAGCAACCTGATGTCAAGCAAAGAGATATCAAAGTTTATTTGAAAATATAGATATATATCATTCTAAGTGAAAATAGCTTTATTAGGCTTTATACATCAATGTATCAATTTATACTTCAATATAAAATGTAGTGGACAACCACTGCGACACTGCGTTAAGTCCCAACCAGAACCCGTTTCAATAGCCACCTCGGCCAGCTTGATATCAAGCGGATATCAGATTTTTACTTAAATTATAGACCTCAAATATCGAATAACAGAGGTATGAATCAAAATAGCCGTTCAAATTGAATTAAATAACAAATACTTTTAGTATTTTTTATCATAATAAGTGTAGGATATTGACCTATATAGGAAATACGGACAAGCGGTATTGATATATAATTCTATAATCCATAAATGTATTGATATCAATGTGGATTATAAGAAATTTATTAAAACAGGGGCTAGTGAAAATGCATATGATGTATCAATACCCTTTAGGATGATGAACTTCCGCACACGTGTCGCATTTCGCACTTAAGGTCTGTCATATATTGTCAAATTCCGATATAGAAAACTTTTCGATCACATTCAGAAGAAAGTAGCCGATAGTTTATGTCCAGCGATGATTGCTGATGAATTTAATATGGTTTTGTCCGTCGTATGTAAACTGAATACCTGATCGCTGAGACAATGCCGAAGTTGCACATGCTAAAAAGCGACATCCGATACGGAGCGAAATCGAAGGAATGTCTCAGGTGTGGTAAAGATTCTTCTAGAATTCAAATTATTTTTGAATTGTGTCATCCTGAATTTATTTTTACATACGAATACTTGATATTTGATCCGTCAGATGACCGAAGGTAAACAAATCTGACTCAAAGTATCTGAAAAACTTAGAAAATCTAGTATTTTCATAAAAAAATATATGAAAATACTAAATTTTCGAAAATAAAAGTATTTTTGATACTTACACGTTATTTTTTAATTGAACTTGATTATTCCAGAAATAAAATTACAAATAGACATTAGATATTGAAACTAGGTGTAAGTGACACTTTGCCTTCAGGCAAAATGCATGACACGTGTAAATAAATTGGCTTAGTTAGTAATAAGATCATCGTGACTAAAGATTTTCCTGATTTTTTACTGTTTATTTCCGAAATAAATATTTCACTTTTCATTAAGAACTATAATATAATATTAGTTCTTAATGAAAAGTGAAATATTTATTTTAAATTAAATTCGACTTGATACACACTATTCCAAACTTTGATCATTTTTAAACCACTTCTTGCAAACTTAAAATATTTTATAATATTAGTTAAGATCATGAATTTAATTATACAAAGATTTATTAAAAATGCCAGAAGAATTTTTTTTTAATAAGTAATTGCGAGAAAACGGCCTGTGCGATCATTTCCGAAAATGAATCAGCACGATTATCAACTATAATATCTTTCGAATAGCTTTTTATTTCCCTAATTTTTCTTTTTCTTTTCATGATTTTAGAAAAGTTTAAAAAGTTTTCATGAATTTGCTCAAAATATTTTTCTTTGGGTGCTAAATAAAGAAAAGATAGTATAAGGTATTGCAAAATTAAATACCGTTGTAAAAACAAAGAATTAAATTAGATTATTTAAAATCTGAACATTGTATTTACAAATCCATCTAGGAAAATAATGATTTTTTTAGTGTCTCTAATCATGAAAATTAAACAAATGGTTAAATTTTAAAATAATATCAAAGCATGTAAAAAGTTATATCTTTTAAAAAAAATTTGAATAAATTATGTGTATATTTCTTTAATCATATTTCCAACTAAAATTAGTATGAACAAAATATTATTATGTTTATGAATATATTTTTCGTGATAGATTCTTTGAATTATTTATTTATATTTTTTCAATCTTAACGAGCTTTACAAATCTAATAATTTACAATTTATTTTTTAAGTCGTAACTTTACCGATGTTAATTTTTTCAACTATTTATAAAAGAATTAATATAGTTTTCTCTAATATATTTAAAAAACAAGTTTTATTCTTAATAAAATATATTTTAAATAATAGCCTTTGAAAAGTGGCAAAGCGATCAGAATAAAAATAGGATATCTATTGGAGCAACAATAATAACAATAATAATACTTTATATATTATCTAGATTCTCTTTCATCAAACAAAGTTACGATAAAGATTATTTTATTCTGTTTTTATAAATCACTTAATATATTGTAGATTAAATTTACGCCTAGATGACCTCACAAATAAATTACCTATAGAATTTCATTTTCAGTAATATGTGACTTGTAGCTTGCAGCCTACATCATGATTTTTTGTGTCTGTGAAATATTGGGTATAGAAACAGTTTATAATTATGTAAAGTATATTTTTTAATATAAAACAAGCAGTTTTTAAATAATTCTAATAATAATACTATGATAAAGTAAAATTATATATTTACAAAAGAGAACACATGTTCTATAAAAAAAAGTAAACATTTAAACTAAAGCTATCTAACATGAAGTCTATAGTATACAAGTAGATTATAGTAAGAATTACAGTAGATTTCAATATATTATTTTTGTAGGCTAGGATGCAGGGCTAAATGCTGCATATAAAGATCAAGCTCATCTTCTTCATCCAGACTAACTTCTTCCACACAGTCTGGTTCTTCTGAATCAAAATATTTCTCTTCTTCATCTTGAGCTCTAATATCAACGTTATCATATTCAGAATTATAATCAACCGAGGAATAATCAAAATTTTTATCCTTTCCATCTAAAAAGTTACTGTACATAGTACTGATAAACTCTTCCTTTAAAATTTCTCTTTCAGGAGCGGTGAGTGGTATTTCTGAGGCTTTGTTGACAGAATATTCTATATCTGTTGGTTTTTCAACGTCAGCCATTTCGCCCCACTGTGAAAAACCTGGAGTATATTCATGACTTGTATTTGGAATCTCTTCATCACTATCTTCTTCTTCAACCATCGCTTCTTCATCGTCGAATTGAGTTTTAAGTAAGTTACTAACCCTGGTTTTTTCAATCCCATCTAATAATACATTAACAAATGTTGGATTTGCTTCACCAGTGCTTTTATCCCTTTCTTGTCTTTCCTTTTCAGACAAATATTTACCTACTAGCTGATCGTATAACAATGGCTCTCTGCTCATCATTTCTGATTCTGTGAAGTACACATGCTCGGATATCATTTTTTTCATTACCTCATATCGTCTATTACGAATGTCTGTATTGCGTTTTTGATCAACATTAAATCTTCGAATTTGCCTTAACATAAATTCAGTTTCATACTTATCTGCTTCACAGTTATTCTCAAAATAGAGTAGATGATCAGGTGTGAGATAAAGGCCAAATCTTGAGAGGAATGCATATTTACTTTTGTCGAATAATTCTGTGGCAATTTCTCGCTTTTGTCGAGTAGTTAAATCAGCATCGCCGATTTGCTGGCTTTGGAAATAAGGTCGACTATCATGTGCTATAAATTCTATCATATCTTTTTTTAAGATATCATCATCGACAGGTATTTGACATGCTGATTCTTCTTGCATTACTGCTTCTTCCATCATATTACTAATGCCCATGATAACTAAAGATTTAGAGCAATTTACACCTATTTTCCAGCAACATACATAACCTCAAATAATACGAAGTTTGTAAATAGATGCTCTGAGTGTACCTGAGTAATCTATAATAATAAAGTAACAATCTTCAACTTTATGAATGTCTTTACTCTTAAATATTTTTGAATTCAATGCATTTTTAAGTTGCTATCTGAATTTAAAAATATGTCAAAACAAATAACTACAACTGACAGCTCTATTGCGTTTGTTTTGTTTCAAACACAACTGAAGTTGGCCGCATGTGTCACTAAGTGACAATTGGTATGAGTCATTAATCACATAACCTCAAAATAATTAACTTTTCTTTGTGCAAATTAAAATAATATTGTAATATTATTGAACAAATTCAGTTAGAAGTTAGATATAATAATAAAATATATCATAGTAATAATTATTTCTTCACTTTAAAAATATTTTGCCAATTAGTTCTATGTGTTATGAATCATCAATGGTGTTTACAAATTTGAAATTTAAATGACTTTAATAAAATATATTCTATATTTTTCTAATTAAGAAATTTCATGCTTTATTTCATCATTGTATTGTCATGATAAATAATTAATCAAATACAAAGTTCAAACTATCATTCAGATAATATTTTTGATTAGAGCTGATAAAAAATCTAATTAGTGATTGAATTTTAATTGACACGCTATATTTTGCATAAATTTGTTTCATCTAAAAATGGATCAATTATTTAACTATTTTCGATGGAACTGGAAAACTATGTGTGGTGCAGATGGTTTTGTGCCATGGGACAGTACAACCAAAGACTTCGGATTATGTTTTCAACAGTTGTGTCTACAATTTCCAATATTTGTATTATTAGCAATAGTGTCATCATACTTTTTTGGGCGTCCCTACAATTGGTGCTTACGAGACAAAACTCAAATGCGGACTATATTCATTCGTTGTTTAGTGACTTTTTTGTTAGCTTGTGTGCCAGTGATTAAATTATATACAATTGTTAAAAATAACAAAGATAACGTGTCGTTGATTTGTATTTTAATATCATGTGCAGAATGTATAACATGGGTAGTGCATTTGGGTGCTTGTTTAGCTTTAAGACACAAGGGAAGTTCTACTGCAAGGGGTATGCTAGCCCTCATAATTTTATGGACTATGACATTTGTTTTATCTGTGATATGGTTGAAGGCAAATATTTCAACACCGAATTTGACATGGGCTATTGTAGTAGTGGTTCTACATTCCTTTTATGGATTGACTTTGATTCCATCCGGTAAATCGAGATATATGATGAGGTCTGAACAACAGGCTGATATGGTAAGACTAATTGAAAATTGATAATCCATGGTAATTTATTGTACATAAAATATTTAACAAACAATAACAAATAGTTTGCATGATCAAAGTAAATTACATCTATATTTGTATTATTTAATATTTGTAAAACTATTATACATAAATATAACATAGGTTCTAATGACAGCATAAAGCAATATTGACAAATATTTATAAACAATGATTGAATTAAAAAAAATCAAAAATAATTATACTAAACTTTTTATGTCGGGCCAAATATGCATCATGCTGTATATCTACGCAAAGTAATTTAACATCTATAGGGTTTTATATATATTGCCGTTCATAGTATTGTAATTGGACTGCCTGCCTTTTATAGCATTGCAATTTGCTTAATTTATTTCTATTTTTGTTATCTTAAATAGAATACTACAGGTGGCGATTTTTTTTACTACATAAGATTCTTGTAATATATATCAAATTCGATAACTATTGCAAATATTTCACACATACGTGGTTGTATAAAAAGAATTACTCCTTCGAAATTTAATACTGTTAACTTTGTGTAAGATATGAAATTGAGTTGGTACATTATTTGTGCAAATGGAGTTTCACATTTTTATAAACTATTCTCCTACCTATTATTTCATATTTCTGACGCAGGCCTAAAACTTGATTTGATATTCTTTATGCCAACATCGTATTTAAGTTATTCAATTATTCTACCATATCTATATAATTACAAAATATCACAATTGATGAATGAATTATATAACATATTATTATTCACTCATTTTTTCAACTTGGAATTTTTTTACAAATTTTATGAGCCTTAAACATTCTTACTATATGTACACATTATTATTACAATTTTGAATTTTTATGAAAACAATAGTGTGAAATTCTTTGATTAGTTCAATGATCATCCAATTGTTCAAGGCAATGAATTTTTATAAGCAAAAATATTACTTGCATGGGATTTAGATTATCATATGAGATAAAATTTTGATAGCAAAATTACATCTCTAAATATATTTTACAAATTTGCGCAATATATTAAATAAATATCTTTTTAAAGCATAGTTTTTTTTTAATGGTCAATGATTTATTGTGTTAAAAATGAATGTGTTGAAGTGGTCATGGAGTTATATTATTGTTCACACTGTAAGACCAATAATTGCAATATCTGCAATAATTTTATAATTTTTTTTTTTTATTAATTACTTTATTATTTTATTTTCTTAACTTAATTTTATCTAATTCTTAATCGAATTCTTAATTCTTAAATGTGTTTAATATTTTCTGCCTGTACATTTATCTTCTACAAACTCTTAACGGAAGTATTAAATGGTTTATGTCCTAAAAACGTAATCCATTTTTTAGATGTTTTAGGCAATTTGTTTCATATTTAGCATTATTGCCCACTATTTATACTCACATGACACACATGACAAAAATTTTCAATATTAAAAACATTCTTTTTAGGATTTTTTTTATATTGAAAATCTATATTTATAAAAGAGCAGTTTTGTTACTAACACGAGTTTAACCGCTTTAAAACTTTAGTGCTACTAAAAGTATAAAAAGTTCAGTATTATTTTTAAGTTTGAATAATAAATAAAATAAAAGGTTTGGTCCCAAAAGTTTGAAATATTGGTATATAATCGCTTAATCCGTTGAGATGTGTCTTTTTTAATTTACATAAAAACAAAAAACGGCAGTGTAATATAAATGCATATTTCTCATAAATGTGACTTTATTCAGAAAATGGCAATGTCTAATTACCATTCGTTCTTAGCCCGGTCTGCATAATGAAATTTTGCAAGTACCAATCGAATAATTTATAAAGATTTATCCGTTATTATATGAATCCTGAAATAGAAAACTACATTACATGAAGTTTTGAAGGGTAAACAGTTTTTCTGTATCTAGAATGTAATTTTTAGTTTTAGTTTTTTTTAATATGCAAATCGATGTAAATTTTATGATTAAGTATTAAGTAAATGGAGATACATGAATTAATGCTAACCACCTAGGATGGTCTACGTAGATTTACGTGTTATTTATATTTTTTTACTACTTGCTAAAAGGCTTTTACGTTTTTTTCATGCAAACTTTCATTATTTTTTATACTACTATTGATAGTATAATCTGTTTGTTGTTATTAAAAGAAATTTAATTGATTATAGATTTATTGTTGTTACAATGCTTTTTATCCGCGTTTATCTAATTCGCCTGAAAAATGCCCGGAAACTATGTTAGGCAAAACAGATTCGATTCATTCTTTGGTTAAGTGTTAAGTCACCTGATGTTTACGTAAAACTTATGTTTAAACATATATAAATCATATTGTATGAATCTTGCATGATCTAAAATATTTTACACGATTAGAAGCTGTATGAATAAAGAAACATTTTATTTTAGTAAACACATACTTTTAATTTTCTCATAAGTAAAACAATTTATCAACCTTATATCAGTATTTATGTTTCTTAAACTTCTCACTATGGTCAGTGATACGTTCTAGATATATCAGTACCACTCTATTAAAAGAAACAATTGTTTCAGTAATATTTTTATACCCACATAATTTTTAACATAATGTGTGCCGCATATTAGCTTAGGTGGTTGATGGGTGGTTGTATCTTATTCAGTATAAATATTGAGCCAGATCTGGATTAGTTGATCAAAACGTCACGTTGGTTTATAAAAATAACTTTTATAAACAATTTCAATTTGTTGAATATTGCTCTTCAACAACAATTTTACTGATCTATGCTCTTAAATTTATTGATAATATATTATACAATTTAGGAACGTCGCACGTTGTTGGGAGATTATAGCCGTTTTCAAGAAGAAAGTGATCCATTGGAGCTTGGCAGAGTCGCCGAAGGGAGCAATTGGCTCTCAAGGCTCACATTTTCTTGGGTGCGTGTACTTATTTCCAAAGGTAACTTTAAAATAGTATACTAATAATAATATAGTTTATTTAAATTTAAAAGAAGTGAAAAGAAGCATATATTAAGCAAATATGTGTACATATATAGTATGAAAAAAAATGTTATCATTTATTTACTTTTATGATCACTGTATTGCTTCTATTAAAGGACTTTGTTCAACTTAACGATGAAATTTACAATCTCTTTGAGTTTTGAGTGTGCCTTATTACTGGCATTATTATACACTTTAATATTGTTGCATAAAACAACAAATTAGTTTATTGTTTATTTGCTGTTTAAACTTTGTTTCCACTAGGCAAATTATTTATTACCAAAAAATTAGGTGCTTGGTTCTGAAAGCAGATTCATATGGAAATATGAATATATATGTAAGAAAATAAGAAAAGTATAGTTATGTTTGAAAAGAACTAGCTTGACTGTATTTGACATTACAAAATACTTTCTTCCTTAGACTGACTGTGCCAATGTTACAGCGATCTTTTTCAGAGCAATGGATTTATACTAAATGCTTTTCTTGAGTCGTTAACACTAAATTGGATAATCTTTGAGAATATTTGAAAATAATCGTCTAATTTATTTTATTCTTATGTATTACTAAAATTAATCCTTACACTTCACGTATATATTTTTTCGATTTTATGATGAATTATTATTCACAAATATAATCAATAAATGAAATTGATGTAATTGATGAAATTGTTGTATATTGCAGGCGTCAAAAGAAAATTGCGTGACATAGATGATTTGTTTGACTTGCCAAGCGACATTTGTTGTGAATTTATATCAGATGATATTGAAGAAGTATTAAGGTAAAAATATATTGCGTTCATAAATAAATCGTTTTTGTATAAAGAATGAGTTGGAAGAGTATGAACAGATTCATTCGTAACTGATTTAGCTAAAATTAGGTTTTTAACCCTGTACAAAAAAATCAAGACATAAAAACTTTTTTCTATTTTTACTAAATTAAAAGATATCAGTTTATATATTTTGCTCATTGAGCAGCCCAGTAACTAGATAGATAGATTATAATATTTATGTAAAATGATCTTACATTTTGCTGAATAATGAATTTCATACGTTTTTCTTACTTTTTAATATGATTATTTAATAAATGAATAAGAAATAAGTACTTAGTTACTATGATACAAGAATGAGGATTTTCTATTATTCAATGCTTATTTACAGGAGAAGAAATAATCTATTAAGGGCACTGCATTCTCTATACGGTTATGAGTTTTACAGCATTGGTATTTTACGCTTGATAGCAGATTTGGCCGGTTTTGGAGGGCCACTATTGCTTGGCGGTTTATTAGGAACGGCTACTGACTCTGCCCCCGGCTCCGGAGATGCATATTATTATGCAACTGGATTGCTCTTCACAACATTACTGGGTAAATTTAAGCAGAGTAATATCAAAATAATATTTTATTTTTTTATTATTATATAGCAATCAGAATATGAAACATTGTACAAGCTATTGAAATTCTAGCTTTGGGTTTGAATTATTTGGCATAGGTCTATGACTTCATATGGTCGAGTTACATGCAATTGATAAATTTTCTGTGATTAGCGTGTTTGTTAAAACAAATTGTGCTTTTTTAAATTGCTTGTACTTAGTCCGTATTCAAAATTTTGTGAATTTATTTATTTCTGTATACTTACCTGGGAGCTTTAGGGAGCAATCAGTATTTGCTTATTGTGTTTCTATTTTGCCAAGTAACATTATACATTATATTAACATGTTTGCATATTTATTTAAATATGTAGTAGTTTCTATTATTTATATTTTTGTTAACATACAGTTATGTAAACATAAAAATACTACCTGTTTATTAATATTATGACATTTACTGTTTCTAGTTAGTTATTACAAATTAAAAGTAATAGCAATAGCCAAGGCGCTTAGCATTTTGATTCCGTGTCTAGCATGTATAACCAAATATTATCTAACATTTCAGCATTTATCTTTGAAAATTTCTCATTTTATAAATATTTTAATATGATTATACTTATTTTTTTTCTTTTTAAATAAAATCAAATAACTTTTATTATTTACACCAAGGTATGAGAAATCACTTGAGGGTGCTCCCAAAGGCTAGATTAAAATCGTCAATTTTTAATTCATGATAATAGTTAATTTATGTAAATAAGGTTAAACTATACAAAAACTATTATTGGAAAAAGATTTACCATAAAATTGCTATTTGGCTGCATATAATTTAAAAAAAAAATCATTTTTTTTAAATTGTAAAACTTTTGCTGCGAGGAATAGAACGAATTTGATGGCAAGTCTTTTATACAACCATCATATTTAATTCGATCTTTATCATTTTTTTGCTGTTAAATTATCAGTGGTGTGCCAATAATACGTTTGCTTTACACTTAATAGGATTTTTTGATTAATATAATAGTCAGTTATTTTCATAACGACAGTTATTAAATTTAACTTAATTTTTAGCTGCTTTCTGTAACGCGCACTTTAACTATCGCATGGCGATTGTCGGCATGCGTATGCGCTGCGCTTTGGTTTGCTCCATATATCGAAAGCTGCTGATTGTGCGGGATGGAGCTTTGGGCGACGGAGGACGAGCTTTAAATTACATGTCGACGGATTCAGAGAGGATTGTAAACTCTTGTGCTAGCTTTCATGCTTTCTGGAGCATACCTTTCCAAGTGAGTGAGGAATAGCATATTTTTTTGTATTTAACATAATCAATTGTTATAATCAAACGTTTTCAGTATCATATATTCTTGCACAGATTTATTCATAGTAAGAATGTTTATATTTATTTATTTAACGCTACAGCAGTTTTTTCTGATATAATACTATAAGATATACGTATCATCCGTTTCGGAGATACCGAGCAAAAAGAGCATTTTTTGGCAGTTTTCGAGAAAACTAAACATCTGATTTGAATTATTCAAAAAGCTCTTTGCTTGTGTTGATGAAACGATTGCTTCTGGAAAAAGAATTTTCAAGTTCTAAAAGAAATTTTTTGAATATCTTAAATAATTTGGATTTTAATTTTAAATCTGGCTGAATTTCTAAAGCTCACTAATATTCTTCAAATGAAAAATAGCAAAAAATTGCTATTCAGTTTATATAATTCTTATAAATATTAGTCAAACTCCTTCATTTTAAATTTGATTGATTGAGTTTTGTTTATTTACTTTTCTGTAAACATATATAAGTTACAGTATTTATAATAATCTGTAAACATGTAATATTCCTCGAACATTTTGTTGCGGTACAACAAGTTCCAGCAATTGGCCTTAAGACACGATGCCATACACCTATTTTATCTGAATTAGTTCAATTTTGATTTCAATCGATTCAAAATTACTCAGAAAATGTTACGTAACATCAACATATAATCAGCAATTTGGATTTTCTGGCTCAGAAACTTATCTTTCGGGAAGTGAATAAAATTATTTTATCTAGTATATTAAACTGGGTAACCTTTTTGTGAAGATTAGATTGGGAGCCATAATCTCAATTAAAATAGAACATTAATTAATTGATTTATTTATAATTATTAATTTATGAATTATATAAAAATATTTTAAGTATCTAAATTATTAATATTTATAAATTATATTACATATGTATATAAAAAAATATTTTATCTGAATATCTATAAGGTGCGTAGATCTTATATTTTCAAGACAAATAGAGCCAATAACTCAAACTTAAAAAAAAAATTAAAGATGAAATATTAATTCGTTGAAATATTACTTTTGTAGCAAAAGGGTCAATAAGATTTAATAGTATTATTGTGGGCTGCGGAATGAAGTTTGAATTCACTTTCAAGAAGAGAATTAGAGAAATTAATTAGAGAATAATTTAGATTTGTATAGAGTGGATCTTAATGATTTTTCTATTTTATATCTGAATATTAAATGTTAAATCAATACTGACTCATTATTATTCTCTGTTTTTTAGCTGTTTGTCACTCTATATCTTTTATACACCCAACTTGGTTTGGCATTTCTGGGAGGCGTAGGCATTGCAATTGTACTGATACCTGTAAATCGGTACGTGATGAAGTTGATTGGAAAATATTCTGTTGGTATGCTCAGAGGTAAAGATGAGAGAATATCTGCTACGACTGAACTGTTGCGTGGCATAAGAAGTGTTAAATTTTTTGCATGGGAGGATATATTCTTAAAGGGCATTTCAGGTAAGTCATAAATGAAAATGATATAATTTATTTACAATATTTTTATATTTTTGAAGAAGTGAATTTTGAATATGATAATTAATTTGACTAAATTAATAACGTTATTCATGTTTTGTACTAAGTTAATAGGTTTATAAAATGTTGGTCTATTTGAAATAAATCATAACGATACAAAAAATGTGTGGAGCCAGTAGTTGTAGTATATGATCATGTCTATTTATTTTTTTACTTGTTGTTTTTTATAAATTTTAATATTTATATGAATTTTTTCTAAATATATTACTGTAATACTATGTGAACGGACGTGCACAAAATCATCAAAGTCTCATATTAGTAAAACAGTATGTAGCAGTACTTGACCATACTCTATACCATATAACCATAAGAATTTGATATATAAATCTGGTATCTTATTAAATTATTTGATAAAATAATTTCTTGTTTGACTGGTTTTACTGGTTATATACTGGTTTTACATGAAATAAAAACATTCAAATAATCTAATATTAGCATTACCCAAAATCAAATATCAAAATTAAAGTTATTTAATATTTTATATGAATGAGAATTTAATTTTTTTTTTGTGATTTTGTGCAGTATATATGATATCATATTATCTTCTTAGTTATGTTGTTACTTATAGATTTCATTCCAAATCAGGTTATCGGAATTCAGAACTATCCTACTTGGGTAAAAGGAAGTATCTGGATGCAATATGTGTCTTTCTGTGGGCATGTACTCCAGTATTTATTTCACTCATCACATTTGCTCTGTATTTTTGGCTGAACGGCTCTTTGGATGCACGAACTGTATTTACGAGCGTGGCCCTTTTAGCAATGTTGATTGGACCATTAAATGCATTTCCTTGGGTACTGAATGGACTAGTCGAAGCTTGGGTATCACTCAAACGTGTTCAGGAGCTTATTCAGGTTAATATCTTTGAGCCATAATTAACATCATGATATAAACAGTATGTAAATACTAAACTTTATAATTAACGTGATCATATCTATCTCGGATAGAAAAATTGTAAAGAGTTTTAATTTTAAACAAGTTTCAACTAAAATTGTTTTTACCAAATTTTCCTTTCGTGTTCATGGCTTATTACAAGCTATAAATTATAAATCGTTTTAGTTATTTTATATTGAAAACTAAATAATCAGGAACTAATACATTTTTAAATGAATATGGTACCATTATACATAGTATAGTGACAGGGGCTTATCGATTAGTAATAGTACACTAGCGATCAGTATTTTAAACTCCTTCTTTTCATTTTTCTTTATGTATAATGATTTATTTAATTTACTCAATATAAAGATTTCTTGTTTTACTGGTTTATTGACCTTACAACAAGTACATTAGCCAATAGGGAAATATTTGGTTGTTTACTTATCATAATATTTTCAGATGCCGGAGATAGATTTAGACAAGTATTATTCACCAATTGATGATGATTCCATAGCAGTATCTATTAAAAATGCATCGTTTTCATTTTATTATGATCACGACGGGAAGGAAAATTCTGAAGATGTGATTTCGACTCCCGGATCGCTGAATATTCAATCAAATGGACAGTTTACTGAACAGAAGGAATTCCTTTTACGAGATATTAATTTGACCATCAAAAAGGTAAATTGAAGTTATTATATTTATTTATTATGGTTTATAGATTTATATCATAATAATATAAGCACGTTATATATGTAATAAATAGGTGCATGGGCATACTTTCTTTAGGGGTTTTAAACAAAATATAGAAATATTATTTAAAACATGATTCTCTATTTAAGTTTGAAATAATTTATAATTCAAAATCTCAATAAGCTATAAATAAGCTATTATTTCCACAAGTACTGTATAATCTTTCTAATGAACAATTTTAGGGTGAGCTTATTGGTATCATAGGACCGGTCGGATCTGGAAAATCTGCTCTTTTATTAGCAATGCTGGGAAGTTTACAGAAATGCAAGGGGAAAATATATGTGGATGATTATTCCAACGGTATACCTCAAAAATTTTATTTGACTTTGTTTAATGATTCATTCAACTTCTATAGATGATGCATATAACAATCAAATTTCATATCAAATACATAGTTTTCAAAGTACAGAAGTAGTTCCATAGTTTATTTTATGAATGATTCCTAGTTTTGATAATGTAATTGCATTCCAATATTTTTTTACACAGGTATTTCATATGCTGCACAATCACCATGGCTGCAACGATCTAGTGTTGCTGAAGCAATTTTGTTCAGTAGAGGACTAGATGAACATCGATATCAGGCAGTACGTGACGCTTGTGAACTGCAAGACGATCTGGATGATCAAGCTGGTGTTGCTGAAGGAGGAACTACCTTGTCAGGTGGTCAAAGGGCTAGAGTGGCATTAGCCAGAGCTGCTTATCAAGATAAATCTGGTTAGTATATTTGTTACTGGACTATCTATGACTTTTATTTCAGTATACTAATATTTTGTTGGTTTGAGTATACTTATAATTCTGCTTAATGACGGTTAATTAACTATTATTGCAGTTTATTTGCTGGACAATATACTATGCTCCTTAGATGCAGCTGTAGCTACAAAGATTGCAAAGAACTGTATTCTTGGTTTTCTCAAACACAAAACTAGAATAATTGTAACCTCACATCGAGGGCTTTTATTGAATTGTGATAAAATAATTGAGGTATTTATATCCATGAGTATCTATATATAGGAGGTTAGTTTTTTTTTTTAAATAAATGTTTCAGTAGTAGTATGATAATTTTTTATCAATTTATGTTAATAAAAGAAATGTATTATTTTTGTACCTATTTTTGAAAAATTGTTTGAATTCAAAGTATGCAACTTTGATCTAAGTAAAACTTTTATATTCAAAATTTGTATATAAATTTAAGACAAATATTTAATCCAGATGTCCAATGGTAGAATAGCTTCATTCGGAACACCTGCAGAAGTGCTAGGTGACATCGAAGATATAGATCATGCAGAATGGTATTCTAAAGATTCTGGAAAAATGTTTGAATGTAATATTGAAACTGCTGAGGAACAAGAGGAGGATACACAGAGTACAAATAGTATTTTAGAAGAGGTTTGTTTTATTATAATTTTAATAAAATAACAACATTAATTTTTTTTAGAAAAGGATAATATTACAATTCTAAACTGATCATTCTATTAAGTTGCTTTGGCAAATCCTTACACTCCATTGATCAATATCCTAAATTGAAATATTGATATCATAGTTAATATTATACAGGTTTACTAATTTCTCCTAAAAATTGATTCAACCTATTTATATCAATATAGGAATCCGTGGAGCGCGGAACATTACATTCCAGTGTTATATGGGGTTACTGGAGCTCCTCAGGGATATGGCTTGGATCAATTGTTTTATTATCTGTAGTTCTAATGCAAGTTTCTCGTAATTTATCTGATGCTTGGTTAGCACATTGGGTTTCACAGAGCGAAACTAACGATAATACAACACACGCAAATGGTAAGATACTTGTGATTGTAATTTATTTGTAAGTCACCTTATATATTAAGTACTTGAATACTGAGTTGCCATAATTTTAATTGATAGAAATATGTTTTTTGTTCTATAGAATTCAATATTTAATACATTTAGTTATAGCAGTTGATGTAGTCTACTTTTGCTCCCAAATAACAGTGTATTGATTATTATCAATACATGTGATTTTAAATATTTCCAAAAGATGACACAATGTCTACTTCTATAAGTTATTGATGATACTTTTATAAACCTGAAATTAGTATGTTTTTATAATAATAATAGTCGTAGAATTTTAATTATTTGATCAATAATGCAATTATGTTCTGCAGACACACCAATATCAAATTCCTCTGATGAAACCGTGACATACTACTTGGAAGTTTATGCTGGACTAGCTTTATTAAATTCTTGTCTGACATTAGCCAGAGCATTTCTCTTTGCTTATGCCGGAATTAAGGCTGCTCGAGTTATGCATGAGAAATTGATCAAAACTATTATATATGTAAGTGATTATTGTTTAACTTGGAAACTTATTAGCAATATTTAAACTTGTCGACGGTCGAATTTAATAATATTACTTGCGGTCATGATATTTATTTATGGAATTAGAAAAAACATTACAAAGTTAACAAAACAATCTCACCCTCTGCTATTTTCTAAATTTTTGTGGCGTTGAATTATCACTAGTTTTATTTTTTTATGTGTAAAGTATATTAAATACATATGTTCCTCCAAGTTACTAAAGATAAATTGTATATGATTACAATATTACGTTTATTACTGAAATAATATAAAGGTAGAATTCAAAAAGAATCAAAATTATGGAATAATTAAATTTTTTTGATATTATCTTTGTTCATTCTTAGTTAAAATTATTCTTAGTTATGTTATTATATTTGTGGAAAATAATTAAAACTAATTATGAAAAATAATTAATCCTTGTTTATTCATTCAGGCTAAAGTTTATTTCTTTGACATCACTCCACTTGGTCGGATATTAAATAGATTTTCTTCAGACACAAATACTATAGATGACTCTCTGCCATTCATTTTGAATATACTTCTTGCACAATTAGCTGGTTTATTAGGTAAGTCAAAAATTTTAAACATTACGTTTACTGTAAATCATCAATAACTTTAGTGTGTACATAAAAATATCTAGAATTTGTTTTGAAATTTCATGTTTTTATATTGTTTATGAAGTATCGGCAAAAATTAATTTTTATTGATATTGTTGGTTTATCACATTAGAATTACAACATTGGATTATGATGAATATATAATTTTAATATATATTATATTTTAGGTTCTTTGATTATAACACTGTATGCAATGCCCTGGTTGGCACTTTTAGTTTTTCCGCTGGTACCACTATATCATATGCTTCAAGCCAGATATAGGTCTTGCTCTAGGGAAATTAAACGATTATCAAGTAGAGCTATGTCACCGTTATATAATCTCTTCACTGAAACAATACATGGTGAGAACAAACATTACATTTACAGATTTATAAAAAAAACAGAGCGAAGCTAGCTATTCTAATTTATTTTTATTTATCGTATGTATGTATATACAACAATATAGAATAGATAGAATAGCTACAAGGTTTTTTTTAAAATACATTTAGGGTTGACTAAAATCAAAGCGGGATTTTAAGCAAAAAAAATTTTTTTAATTTACGTCAGATGATTTTGCTTTCAAAGAAAACAACTTTGCAACATCAAAACATTCTCAATGTTACATTATCTAAATAAGAATGAATATTATAAAACAATTATTAGTATAAATCATTGTTTTTATTAAAAATTTGTATAAGAAAGTCACTGAAGCCATTATTTAGCAATTAGGAGTAATAAACCAAATGATTAGGTATAATTTTTTAGCATAGAATATTCAAACACCTACTGTTCTCTCAAAATATTAGGTATATTTTGTAATTATAAGTTTTATTTTTAATAACCAAATAAAATACAACTATTTAGGCCTGGTGACAATAAGAGCTATGAATACTTCATCCAAGTTTAGAAGAAATTTTACAATGCGTCTCGAAGATAGTTTGAAAACGCAAATCAATAGTGTAGCTGCATCTCAATGGCTGGGATTGCGATTGCAGGTAGGTTCAATAAAGAGCTATTCCACCTAAATGTCGCATCAATAAAACACCCTATAGTAAAACTGGATTGTGATTTCTTACATTTTGATTTACCATAATCCATTTTTATAATATTCAATTAGTCTAGTTGAATACAATAGTCATTATTTTTATATGAGAGCCTGTGCGCATGTTATATTACCTAAATTATACTTATAATTCAATATTTGAATGGAAATATCTTAGTTGTTTATTGAAGGTACTGGCAAAAACAATTTGATAGTATAATTAAGGGATAGTTCTTAAATATGGACTATGATAATTACAGTCGAGAATGTTTTTCTTCATCATAACATCACTAAATACTTCTTTATGTATAATTATGTTTCCCATAAGCTAAATTATTATTAAAATTAATAGTTTATCCTTTATTAGATAATAGGCGCACTGTTGACCGGCGGTGCTGGTTACTTAGCGGCTATGCAGACTCAATGGGGCGCTGCAAGTCCTGCACTTGTTGGTTTAGCGGTCTCGCAAGCCTTAGCCTTATCTGGATTACTGTCAGGTTTGGTAAGTGATTTTTTATTAAATATGTGTATATGTGTAATTTTTGGTATTTGAGGTCATTGCCATAACACTACGCTTTAAAATGTTTTATAGACATTTAAAGAATAAAGTGTTTGTAAAGTTATCATAAAATTTATTTATGGCAAATATGACGGTTTTGAAATATATAATTGATAAATTTATTAATTATAAAAGTAATCGCTAAAAATAAAAAATTAAAATTTGTATATATCTTTAGATGTCTTTAAGTATCAAATTTTTCAAATTGCTATTGGGGGTCTACAATAAATTTTTGGGCTATTTTTAATTGTATTTAAAAAGCAAAAATCAGTAACTAATTCGCCAAAATTTCGGAAATTTTTACAGCATATGCGATTCCAAAATTTTAAAATGATAAACTGCTGCTATTGTGATAACTTTTAAACTGGATCAGAAAAAAATTAATTCAGTTATTTTATATAATTTATATAGGTGAACGCATGCGCCGAAACAGAGCAAGAATTAGTTGCAGCCGAACGCGTTTTGCAATATTCAAAGCGGCGGGAAAAATTCAACCAAATTGAATCTAGTGCTGATAATTATGAAGCAACAGAACAAATAAAAAATATCTCTGGTGGTATTGAGACTGAAACCAGCGCTGATTTAGAGATCGAAGACGGTATGATCGAACCGCCTTACGGTTGGCCTGTTCATGGAGTAGTGGAGTTCCAACGAGTATATTTTAGATACAGGTATTTTCATAATGATATTTGAATTGGTAATAGTATGATTTATGTTATAACATCATATTATTTTTAATTTTAAAGTAATATAAACTAAAGCTGGATAAGTGTATCACTTATTGTTTAATTTAAGAATAATTCATATGTAGTAGATAATAGCTTTAAATTTTTCGTAAAAAGTGTTCAGATTCATGGTTAAAGCCACATAAGTTCAATTTATTAGGGTTTATTTAAAAGCTCTTGGTGAAAGCTGATCAGAAGCATACCGACGCACGAGTGTTAGGATAATATTTATTAATTTCTTCTTTGATTTCTTTCATTTTAACAGTATAAAATAATTTCATGTTTTTGTAACTTTGTTATATTTCATTTTTATTTGAAATTAAAGTTAAATATTTGAAAATTCTTACATCGTGTTGTACTCAATATGTAATTCTAACTCACCTAATTATTTTCTTTATCGATCTGAGAACCTATATTTTATATCGCTGTGTTCTGTTTATAAACAATGTGCGATTTTGTGCAGATCACACTTGCCACCGTCATTATGTGAAGTGTCTTTTGAAGCAAAAAGCGGTGAACGTCTTGGCATTGTTGGCAGAACGGGAGCAGGCAAAAGTTCGCTGATGGCCGCCATATTCAGGATGGCTGATGTTACTGGAGGCAGAATTCTCATCGACCACGTTGATATATCTCACGTGTCTCTCAAAACGCTCAGGTATATTGAATTTAAAATAAATAAAAATATTTTTACATTTTTTATTTTCTTGCAGAGAAAATCGATTTTTCATCATTAAATTTTATTTCAACTGGCAATAATGTTAGTTATCAATTTTCTTTATTTTTGTTATCAAATGATATAGAAGTTACAGATTTTGACCATCTAAAAGTAATCAAATATTAATTTAGTATAGTAGTACAGTGTATCATTAATGAAAACATTATTTTAGTAATGTTTTTATTTTTAAATATGATGTTTGAACACTATTTTATGATTTTGTAAATATGTATGATTGGTTAATTGTATCGAATAATCTAATACTCCTGTTCACTTTTATTTGTTTAAAAAAAGTTTTCTGAATCATTTTACGGGCATTTACACCAAAAACCGTAGTGTTTTTTTTTTGTATAGCGAAGGAAATGCTTTTATGCATCCCAGACCGGTCTTCTGTCTGGGTATGTCGGACTCGATACCGCCCTGGTATAATACCGACTAAAACCTCCGCTTTGCCCCTGCCTCTGGTCCCCACGGAAACCGCCGTTAGGCATTACTTCGTGGGGGGAAGATCTAGAATGATATAACTTCTTAACTTGTTATAATCAATGTTATAATTCATAAACATTATACTTATCTTTTAAATGGGCAAAGTCCCATTCGCCCTATCTCTCTCTATAGAACGCAAAAACCGTAGTGTAAGTTATAGTAATCGTCCAAAAATTTACCACGAAATTTTTTGAATATCTATACGTTTCAGAGGTTCCTGAACATTTTAGCATACCTTGAAAATAATGTATGTGTGTATGGGTTTATATAGTATGTATGCATGTATGTATAGATACAATTATTCAGCTACGTTTTCGGGAGCCGCTCAACCGATTTGAATTTTTTAAAATCATTCGCTTCTTATTGAAAAGGAGACGTGTTGATTAGTTTTTGGCGAAAGTTGGTCCAGCCATTTTAGAGATACTGAGGAAAAAGTGCAGAAAATGTCAATAAGGTTTGTGAGAACGGAGCATCTAATTTGAAAAACATTCCACTTGTATTGACGTAGTGAAGAATTGAGTTTTTTACGAAGACAGGTCCTGTAAATCGGAGATCCAGTAATTTAAAAAAATTGCCATGTGGCAGTCGAAAATCAGATATTTTGTAATTCTAATCAAGTGATATGAAATAATTTTCAAGAAAATTCAAAGTGCTCAAAATTTTCAAAAATGTTATACACAACTAGTTTTAGTCTCATGTTCTTAATCAAAAGCTTATAGATATAAAAATATTTATATAATATGATTTCCATTTTTTCATGGCCATCATTAACAGGGTTAACATGATCTAAAATTTAGACTTGTTGATGGTCAATATACCAACACTGTTGTATGCAAAATTCATCACAAACTATGATGTTTTCTACCATTTCTACTTTTCCAATAGTTCTTCTACTTATATATACTCCTAAATTGGTTGTTTTTTTTCTTGAAGTGAATTATAATGTACTTAAAAGTATCAAGATCAGTTTTTTTTTGTTTTGGTTTCTTATGTTAAGTTTTAACTAAACTGTAGTAGTAGAGTCGAATCCAATTGGAAATTTAAATTTGGTAAAATATGAAAAAAACTAGAAATATACTAAATAATGGTCATTCTAACAAAATTTGAGTATTTTTTATAAATTCAACAATGTGTTTATTGTATACTATTTATTGACCTTTTTTGAATTTAGAAAATAGTAATTTTTTTAATATTTAAATTAATAAAAATCTTTTGCAAAAGTTTTGAACTGACTCAGCTAAAATCAATACGAATTTGAATTTTAAGAATCAAAATCTGTTCAGTCGTTCTCCCCAAAACATAGCACATCCATACATTTAAGCATTTATATATAAATTATTGTAACAGTCGATACGTGAAGATGCTTTGAAATCTTAATCCTTAATTGTTGACAAACTTTTTTAACCACATTAATGTTATTTTAATATGATTATTTGCAGATCTCGTATGACGATAGTCCCACAAGAACCGTTTTTATTTGCTGGAAGTGTTCGTTCTAATCTCGATCCACACAAAAAGCGTTCTGATTCTGAAATCTGGAGTGCCTTACGTAAATGTCGAGTGGACGAAGTAGTACGCAGATTAGGCGGCCTTGATGCTCTAATGTCAGGAGGAAATACAAAAGACAATAGCAACGGTAGTTCCAGCAATATTAATAAGGGCAACTCTATTAGTATTTCGTTAGGACAACGACAGCTTATGTGTTTAGCTCGAGCGCTTCTTAGCAATTCCAAGGTATAATATATTTTCATTATTATTTGAATTTTATTAATTTGGTACAAGAAATGTATAGTTAAAACGAAATTTGTTTTATATCTATAAAATATTCTAAAAAATAATTTTTGGCTTTGTTTCTATATATGAATTTATCGATGGATAGATTCCTTAAATATGTTCATAATAAAATAAAACAAATTTATTTTAATTTTTTTTTTTTCTAAATTTTGTTCACTTTAGCATGTAAGGCACTCCAGAATATGTAATAGAAATTGTTATTGAAAGCCTAGTTCATGGTCAATCAAGAACTGTAATTTTAAACCGTTAATTCAATGAACACTGACATTTTTCACCAGTTTCTGTTGGAATAACACGAATCAATAAATAATAATATTTTTATAAATAATGTCATTTTTGCTATATAATGAGTTTGATCATAGGAGGTTTCATGATAAATGAATTCTTAATATTTAAGTATGCTGAATATATTCAAGTTGCAATGTTGTGATTTTTATATATTTCAGATTGTTTGCATTGATGAAGGTACGGCTAACATTGATCCTGACACGAATTTATTAATTCAGAGAACTTTGCAAACCGCATTTAGATCCTGTACCTTAATTGTTATAGCTCATAGAATCGGTGAGTTTACAAAATATTGCTAATAAATATAACTTTATATAATGCATTTATATATTTACACGTTATTTGTGAATAGCATCGTTCAATTGCGATCGGGATGGTATTGTTTGAGATTTAAGTTATTTATGAAATAATGCGTTTAATATTCAGCTAATATGAATTTTATATATCTATGGCAGTTCGCTTAAAATTGCAAAATTTTATCCATAATTATACCTATTTTAAAACGAAAAGGGAACAAAGATGTTTTATACCATATATTTCTAAATAATATTGGAAATAATATGCTTATCATCAGGCAATAGCTTCTAATAAATTACATATTTTGAAATTTAAATAAATGTATAAAAGTGTCAAGTCATATTTTTGTGAATTTGAATTTTATATTATTCTTTAGGTAATTTGCAAAATTATGATAAAGTAATTGTAATGGAGGATGGGCGAATAGTTGAAATGGACTCTCCACAAAAATTGCTTAGTGATCAGAATTCACTCTTCAATAAAATGATGAAAGAAGAAATGAATAACCAAAAGACTGAAGACTAGTGTTAGATTTATTGTTACAAATATTTAATTTAGGGTCACCAAAGATCACAAAAATAGAAAATATATTTATTTGTAATTTTTAAAAAAGATTACTATGTCTATACTACAATATTGTATATTTTTTTCTAATTTATTATTTTTATGTACAAACTATATTTTGTTTAGAAAATGAATGTCTTTTTCCAGGATTTGTTGACCTTCTTATTATTGAAAAATTCTTTTTAGGAAAAAAAGGTTCAGTACCAGTTGGCATCTTTACTTTCTGTTTACACTTTATTTTCAAATAACTTGCTTTTATTACAATTATATTTTATCAAAGTAATTAATAAGTAACTTTTATTAACAAGAGTTAAGCCATATATATCTTATTCTTAGTTTGCTAATTAGTCTCTAAATATAATATATATTTTTACAATTGTACTAAGCTTTACCTAGGAAATTATGATTTTTACTTTATTGTTAAATGTTATAATTAATTTTTTAATATTTATTATCAACGTTATGATATTCATGTATTATAATAGATCTAAGTAGAGCATATATTTTTACATAATTAAGCACATGTATAAAACATTTAAAGAAATATTAAAATAAATCTTATATTAAGTAATTTTTTTTAAACATCTTTACATAATGTAATGATATAATAATATTCCCTATAAATCAGGAAAAGTCTGTCTTCGAAAACAGAATATTAATTCTTTGTAAGCAATCAATTGTTTAATTCAAAATTTAACTCCTTCTATACTAGAGTGTTTTCCGCAGAAGGGACACTGCTGCACGAGGCAGCAAAACCGTCCAGAAGCGCTATTGAACAAGCACATTTCTCAAGATTTTCCAATCATTATCAATAAAAATGTATTTTAAAATTGAAAATTACACTTCCAAAGAACTGAAAACTGTAAAAAAAACTAATTAGAATTCTCAATCATTTAGCAGGCTATTGGAGCAAAAGTCTACTGTATTTTGTGTAAATAAAGGTTGACAGAATGCCACGTCGTCATGTGAGCGGATGTGAAATATAGGCAAAAATGTAAGTTTGTATTTTTTCTTAAACAATACATATTAATTTATTTCTTCCATATTATAAATTTAATTTATTTATACATTGCACATTTACTATTTTCTAACTTTGTACTTTGTCTTATATACTTCAAACGCAGGTCTATTGGCATAGTTAAACTGCAACTCGATCAAGAAGTGTAGATGAGACAGATTATATTCTATTCAAGATGTAAACATTAAAATAATATATCTTTTTATATATGTACTACTTTTCGCAGCAGTGCCAGGAAAGCCATTTTTACTAAGAAGCATATTTTGGAGCTACATTCTGATGTGAAAATCGATATGACTGCTGCTTGATATCGAGTTGCAGGCGACGTGGTATTTGAACCATTTAACTTGAATTTTTTGGTTGCTAGGCCGAGGCTTTACCACTTACGCCATATACTCTTCAAACCATTGGTAAACTGACTATGTTTTTATTTTTATTCGATTATATGATGTCAAGACTTCAATCTGCACTTCTTATTCAATGTTTGGCGTGACAAATTTATTTTTGCTGCGAGTTTATTATTTCTCTTACCAACTAAAGATAAAAGCACAGGCAGAAAAATATTATTTATTTTATAAAATGCGACTTTTCAAGTTGTAGTTTATTGTTGTCATTTTCGGCGTCTTTATGTATTATCCAATTTTTGAAACTATAGTTATACCACTATAGTGGTATATAGCATCGTGCCCTAGAAGAAATTGCTGTATCTTCCCGTACCGCACTGAAATATTCGAAGAATATTGAATGTTTTTAAATAAATACTGTAACCTTCATTATTCATATTTTATAGACAAAATATAAAAAACTATTAACTGAACGACGACATTTATATATGTTTACATAAAAAGTAAAAAATAAAACTTTATCAACGGGTTTTAAAATGAAGGTCATTGTCTGATATTTATAAGAATTATATAAAATGAATTTCGAAGTGAAAATTATTTATTTGAAGTGAGCTTGAAAACTTTAGCTAGAATTAAAATTGAAATCCGAATTATTTTCGATATTAAAAAAAAATTTTTGGATATTTTTTTAAATTTTAAAATAACAAAAAAAAATTCGAATTCGAATACGTGAGCGAATAAATTGTATCCATACATACCCACACACACATTTATTTTTCTTAAAGTTTGCCGAAATGTTTAAAACCTTCAAAACTTGAAGATATTCAAAAATTTACAGTTTTGATTTTTAGACGATAGCAATAACTTATACCTTACGATAAATTAATAACGAAGGATTGTATATTTTTGCCAAAAAAGCCAGCAAGAAATATTATTTACACAAAAATTTGAAAAAAATTCAAAATGCGTCGATTATAAGTACGAAATAAGTCATCGATTAAGTCGATTATATATTAAGTCGATTATTTACACATATTAGGAAGCTCTTGCAACTTGTCTTTATGCAAAATGTAACTAATTAAAAACTGTAAATAATGCCTTGAAAGTAGCTATTTTTTTTCGAATTTTAAATATATTATGTTATAAAAGCTCAAAAATTATTAAAACCTCAGAAAATTTTAGAAACAAAGTAAAGGGAAATAATCGCAAAAAAAATCAAAAATGAAAATTTTTATATATCTTTACGTTTCAGAAGCTTCTGAACATTTTGGCCCACCTTAGAACAAAATTATGTATGTGTGTGTGTGTTTGCGCTGATACTAATTTTCTTCGACGATTTGAACCGATTTACCAATTTAAATAATTAACAAAACATTGAGAAAAATTCAAAGTGTAAAAAAAATTCGAAATATAAAAAAAAATCAAATTTTTCAAGTCATTTTTTTTTAGAAATTTTAGAAATTTCTACATTCTATTCAAAGATCTCAAAAAAAATTTAAGGTTTTGTTAAACATTTTATTTTCTGCTCCGGAAATTTTCAGTAAGCCATGCACCATGACTTAAGGCAACTTGAGAATACATGAGAACCACTAGTTTTCAACGTAAACATTGCAAAATTTTAGAGCGAAAATATTAAAGTTATTGCACATTTTGAGAAGTTCATGTAACTTTCCTTAAGGCAAGATGTCACTTACAACTAGTTCGATTTGCCCACACCTTTAGTATACATACGTAGACCCTACGCCCGTAGACCACGCGTTCGTGCTAATGTCCATGCTACGAATTCGCGTGTTGAAGATGTTTCACATTGCACGCCAGTCAGTATGCCAGGCGCTTCCGTCGCGTGCGGTCGTCTTTCTTGTGTATACGCATTCGTGTACGAAATTGTACGATACGATACGTATCGGCATTGTAAAACATGATTTATTTCATTTCTGAATATCAAGTGTCAAAAGTGGTGAATAAATATGGAGGAATTGTTTAAATTGAATTGTGTAGTTTGATTATTGGATAAAATTCAGTTAAAGTTATTAGCACTGTTATTAGTTTTGCGAAGGAACCGCTGTTATTAGTTTTGTGAAGACCAAGTTTTAATGCTGCTCTTGATTGACAGGTATGTTTTGTCTTTATTGATAAAATAATTCCCGTAATTTATGATATTAAATAACTATATTTTGATATTAACACGTTCGTGGGCAGTAACAGGTACACAAATTGGCAATCAATTTATTTTTAAATTGGCTGTGTTATCTGAAATTGGATTAAACACCATTTATAATTGTAGTCATATTATCATATTTTAATTATATACTATGAATGCTATAGCATCCACGTCAAGTATTACGCTTCTATTTTGCGCAACATGCTTGCCGAAACTAATTAGTGACTACGGAAGAAGATAGGATAATACGAAAATACCTAAAGAATCAGTTATGCATGCTCATTACGTTGACAGATATGATAATTAAGAAAACGTAAGGTTATATAAAATTAAATTCAAAATAATTGACTTTAAAATTTGAATACTATAAACTTTGAATAGCCAGGGCCGGTCCTGGGGTACTCAGCGCCCGCATGCCAATTTTTTTTTCTAGCGTTTTAATAAGGGGGGTGACCCTTATTATTTTAACTTTTTGAACAGTTTATCATTAAAATTATGTAAACATTTAAGTTAATTTTTGTTTAAATTTTAAATTATTTAGAAGATCATTGTGATTTGCGGGTGCTCATAATCTAGTATCTTTTATATTTCTCGCACTAAGGAACTATTTTGGAATTCTTATTTTCAATCCAAATTTTTACGGACATCCAAAAATTTCAGTATGTTCATTATTGCTTGCAAGAATATTTTTGAATTTTTATTTAATTCTAACGCATGTGCAATATTAATGTTTGGGTTGTGAAACATTTCACTTATTTATTTTGGGGATTTTATCACTATGTGATTTATTCTATTGAATAAATCATGGAAAGCGAAAAAAATCTAGCCTCTCATTATTAAACATTACACAGGTAATTTATGATAAATTATTTTAATTTAATTCTTCATTATTTAAAATATCCAAAATTGCATCTAAAACTGCCCCTAATTGATATCGTAAATTGTACGTATTCATCTATAATTCTATACTATACTTTACCATCGTGTATCAGATTGTTGTTTTAAAGTTTAAAAAATATTGTCCGAGATAAGTAAAAGATGCAAAGAAATTATATATTTTTCGAATAATATTGAAAAAACTATATTATAAATTTCATATCCGAATTTCGTTTTGGCGCCCCCTAAGGCGTGCGCCCGCATTTTTTGCATTCAAGGTAGGACCGGCCCTGGCTATAGCCATATAGCAATCATTCTCAGAATGAAAATTAATGCTATAGCATTCACGTCCGCGAACTTGTTAATTTTTTTGTGATTGTAAGATATTTGATTTTATTTTATGTTGGGATTATTTGGTGATTATTTTAATATCTTCTGTTGACTTGAACTACTCATGTAATGTTGTTTTACTATCATGACACTAAAATTAAATTACTTTGATACATGTAATGGCAAAAAAACAAAATTTATCTGGAAACACTACTATGAGCCTAAAACTAAC